TCACCAATCACTCCTCTTTCCTCCAGCACCCACCCTCCTATAACCATAAACTTCTGCTCCACATTCTAATACTGCATTTTTAAAACTATTCCAACCCTCTTCAACCATCCCCCCCACTGCTCATACTTGCACCAGCCCAACTTTCTGCCAATAGTTGCTTATCTTTCACCCGAGCTTCCTCCTCCCTTAGTTGATACACTTTCACCTCCCTCTTACTTGTTGTTGCCATTTTCCTCTTATTCCATCTACCTATTCAAACTGTAGCTACAACTAGATAATGATCTGATATATCAGTTGCTCCTCTATAAAGGTGTACATCCTGGAGCCTACCCATCAACCTTTTATCCACCAATACATAATCTAACACACTACTTTCACTACTGTTCCACAAGGCACAGTACTCGCTCCCATCTTGTTTCTCATCCTCATATCTCACATAGACAAGGTTCTCAGCCACAGCACCATGTTTTCCTTTGCAGATGACACCCGAATCTGCATGACAGTATCTTCCATTGCTGACACTGCAAGGCTCCAGGCGGACATCAACCAAATCTTTCAGTGGGCTGCAGAAAACAACATGAAGTTCAACGATGAGAAAATTCAATTACTCCGATATGGTAAACACAGAGAAATTAAAACTTCATCAGAGTACAAAACAAATTCCGGCCACAAAATAGAGCGAAAAACCAACATCAAAGACCTGGGAGTGATCATGTCGGAGGATCTCACCTTCAAGGACCATAATATTGTATCAATCGCATCTGCTAGAAAAATGACAGGATGGATAAGGAGAACCTTCAAAACTAGGGAGGCCAAGCCCATGATGACACTCTTCAGGTCACTTGTTCTATCTAGGCTGGAATATTGCTGCACACTAACAGCACCTTTCAAGGCAGGTGAAATTGCTGACCTAGAAAATGTACAGAGAACCTTCACGGCGCGCATAACGGAGATAAAACACCTCAATTACTGGCAGTGCTTGAAGATCCTGAACCTGTACTCCCTGGAACGCAGGCGGGAGAGATACACGATTATATACACCTGGAAAATCCTAGAGGGACTAGTACCGAACTTGCACACGAAAATCACTCACAACGAAAGCAAAAGACTTGGCAGACGATGCAACATCCCCCCACTGAAAAGCAGGGGTGTCACTAGCATGTTAAGAGACAATATAATAAGTGTCAGGGGCCCGAGACTGTTCAACTGCCTCCCAGCATACATTAGGGGGATAACCAATAGACCCCTGGTTGTCTTCAAGCAGGCACTGGACAAGCACCTAAAGTCGGTACCTGACCAGCCGGGCTGTGACTCGTACATTGGATTGCTTGCAGCCAGTAGTAACAGCCTGGTTGATCAGGCATTCATCCACCAGGCCGCCTGGTCACAGACCGGGCTGCGGGGACGTTGACCCCCGGAACTCTCTCCAGGTAAACTCCAGGTTATGTGCTGCATCATACCTTGTATATTCATTTATCCTCTTCTTCATAAAATATGTATTACTTATTACCAAACCTCTTTCTACAAATAGCTCAATTAAAGGCTCCCCATTTTCATTTACCCCTGGCACCCCCAAATATACCTATTACTCCCTCCACAACATTTTTACCCACTTAGCATTAAAATCCCCAACCACAAGTACTTTCACACTTGGTTCAAAGCTCCCCACGCATTGACTCGACATTTCCCAAAATCTCTCTCTCTCTCTCTCTCTCTCTCTCTCTCCTCTACACTTCTCTCTTCCCCAGGTGCATGTACGCTTACTATAATCCACTTCTCACATCCAACCTTTATTTTACTCCACACAGTCCCTCTTTTCCTGCCATAGCCTGTCCTTCAACATTATTGCTACTCCTTCTTTAGCGTTAACTATTTGAAACCCTTGACCTAATCCCATTTATTCCTCTCCAATGAAACTCACCCACCCCCTTCAGCTTTGTTTCACTTAAAGCCAGGACATCCAGCTTCTTCTCATTCATAACATCCACAATCATCTCTTTCTTATCATTCGCACAACATCCACGCACATTCAGACTTCCCACTTTGACAATTTTCTTCTTATTCTTTTTAGTAATTATTACAGCAAAAGGGGTTAATAGCCCATTGTTCCCGGCATTTTAGTTGACTTTTACAACACGCATGGCTTACGGAGGAAAGATTCTTATTCCACTTCCCCATGGATATAAAAGGAAAAGTAATAAGCAGAAAAAACTATTAAGATAAAATCAAAGAAAACTCAGATGAGTGTGTATAAATAAACATGTACATGTAGTTTTAAAAATGCAGTATTAGAATGTGGGGCAGAAGTTTGTGGTTATAGGAGGGTGGGGGCAGGAGGAAAGAGGAATGATTGGTGGAATGAAGAAGTAAAGGGTGTGATAAAAGAGAAAAAGGTAGCTTACGAGAGGTTTTTACAAAGCAGAAGTGTAATAAGAAGAGCAGAGTATATGGAGAGTAAAAGAAAGGTGAAGAGAGTGGTGAGAGAGTGCAAAAGGAGAGCAGATGAAAGAGTGGGAGAGGCACTGTCAAGAAATTTTAATGAAAATAAGAAAAAATTTTTGGTGTGAGTAAAACAAGTTAAGAAAGCCTAGGGAAAGTATGGATTTGTCAGTTAAAAACAGGTAGGGGAGTTAGTAGATGGGAGAGGGAGGTATTAGGTAGATGGCGAGAATATTTTGAGGAACTTTTAAATGTTGAGAAGAAAGGGAGGCGGTAATTTCATGCACTGGCCAGGGAGGTAAAACCATCTTTTAGGAGTGAAGAAGAGCAGAATGTAAGTGTAGTGGAGGTACGTGAGGCATTACGTAGAATGAAAGGGGGTAAAGCAGCTGGAACTGATTGGTATCATGACAGAAATGTTAAAAGCAGGGGGGGATATAGTGTTGGAGTGGTTGGTACTTTTGTTTAATAAATGTATGAAAGAGGGGAAGGTACCTAGGGATTGGCGGAAGAGCATGTATAGTAACTTTATATAAAGGGAAAGGGGACAAAAGAGATTGTAAAAATTTAGAGGAATAAGTTTACCGAGTATACCAGGAAAAGTATACGGAAGGGTTATAATTGAAAGAATTAGAGTTAAGACAGAATGTAGAATTGCAGATGAGCAAGGAGGCTTCAGAGTGGGTAGGGGATGTGTAGATCAAGTGTTTACATTGAAGCATATATGTGAACAGTATTTAGATAAAGGTAGGGAAGTTTTTATTGCATTTATGGATTTAGAAAAGGCATATGATAGAGTGGATAGAGGAGCAATGTGCAGACGTTGCAAGTATATGGAATAGGTGGTAAGTTACTAAATGCTGTAAAGAGCTTTTATGAGGATAGTGAGGCTCAGGTTAGGGTATGTAGAAGAGAGGGTGAATACTTCCCGGTAAAAGTAGGTCTTAGACAGGGATGTGTAATGTCACCATGGTTGTTTAATATATTTATAGATGGGGTTGTAAAGAAGTAAATGCTAGGGTGTTCGGGAGAGGGGGGGGATTAAATTAGGGGAATAAAATTCAAAATGGGAATTGACACATTATTTTTTGCTAGATACTTCTTATGGGAGATTCTAAAGAAAAATTGAAAAAGGTTAGTGGTGATTTGAAAATGGTGAAAAGGTAGAAATTTAAAAGTGAACAAAGAAAAGATAAGGTAGGGGGGTAAAAATGATTTAGATAGAGAAAAATTGGAATCAAATTGGGGAAAGGGTATGGAAGAAGTGAATGTTTTCAGATATTTGGGGAGTTAAGTGTCGGCGGGGATTTAAAAGGGTAGTTAATCATAAAATTGATGAGGGAAAAAAGGCGAGTGGTGCGTTGAGGTATATGTGGAGTAAAAAAACGTTATCCATGGGGGCAAAAAAGGGGAATGTATAAAAGTATAGTAGTCCAAACCTTTTTTGGGATTGAAGCTTGGTGGTAATGCAGCAGCGGGAGACGGTTGGGGCAGTGGAATGTCCCGTCTAAGGGCAATGTGTGGTGTAAATATATGCAAAAATTTTTCGGAGTGTGGGAAATTTAGAAGTGTGGAGTTAAAAAAAAGCATTAGTCAGGGGGGCAAAAGAGGGTTGGGTTAGGGGGTTTGGGTTTATTTAGAGAGAATGGATCAAAAGTAATGACAGGAAAGAAAATTAAATCTTGGGGAAAGGGAAAGGAGGGGTAGGGGCGTCCTCAAAAGGGTTTTGGAAAGAGGGGAAAAGGGATTTTTTGTGGGCAAGGGGTTTGGGATTTCCAGAACGTGCATGAACGGTTATTGGGAGTGAAGGAGACGAAGAACGGGGGACCTGACGATCTGTTGGATTGAGAGCAGGGTAATATTTAGTAAAGGGGATTCAGGGAAAACCGTTATTTTCTAAGTCGGATTTGATCCGGGAAAGGGGAAGTACAATGCCTGCACTTAAAGGAGGGGTTTGGGTTTTGGCATTTTTGGGGTAGTTGTTTCTTTACACGTTATGCCTAATTTGTATTGACACCTCTGCAAAAGCAGTGTACTGTTGATGTGGTGAAAGTGTTGAATGATATTAAAGTATTTTTTTTTTAGGGGTTTTCTTTCTTTTTTGGGGCACCCTGCCCCTTTGGGGGACGGCAACTTTTTGAAAAAAAAAAAAAAAAAAAAAATGTAGTTTAGTGGGGCCTAATGTAAGTAGAAGTAGCAAGACGTACCTGTAGTCTTGCTATTTTTTGGACAGACAAAGATGCCAGCAATCCTACCCCTTCATGTAAAACAATTACAGGCTTTCGTTTTACACTCACTTGGCAGGACGGTAGTACCTCCCTGGGTGGTTGCTGTCTACCAACCTATTTAGGTTAAACCCCAAAACTAAATGAAGCTACAGATTTGTGTAAAGTCTTTGGTGGTTTACACACAATATATGCTGCACTTAAATGTACCAGTATTACCAAGCTGAAAAATTACTAAATAAAAAAAATAAAAAACTTTTCATCTTTCTTTTTAGGTCACCCTGCCTCACTGAGATACTGCAGTTTATTGGGAAAAAATACACCAGTATTACTTGCCTTGTTTAGAGATTTAATGTTTTCACTTTGTGTTGCCACTGTTTGGTCCTGAGATTTCAACATGGCTTCTTTTTCAGCTAAAGTACTGCTTGTGTCATCAAGTTCAGCTTTCAGAATATTCTTACTGGTTTCCAAGGTGCTGATCTCCTCTTTAATCAAGTCAAGCGTTTGAGTGACATTTTCACATTTCTTTTGCAAGTCTTCTGCCTCAGCTGTTTTTTCCAACAAAGAAGTCTGCAGAGAAATGTAACAGATTCAAGACATCAAAAGACTTTTATAAAACAAACACACATTGTTAGGGAGGGACAGAGAAGAGTAATTTGCACTGGTATCATACAAGATGGTTTAGAAAGACACGTAAGCAAACACTATGACATTAGAAAACGTTTCGGTCCTGGGACCTTGATCACTTTTTACGGTAAGAAGTGATCAAGGTCCCAGGACCGAAACGTTTTCTAATAAATGTCATAGTGCTTGCTTACGTGTCTTTCTAAACCAACTTGTCGGTATTTATTACCAAGGTTTATACCATCATACAAGATGCATGTTACCATTAATCCACAGTACATTCTAAAGTGACAACTTAGGAAGCACTTCAGTAAGGTTGCAAGGTAGTGAAGGATCAACAATATCTAATTCAAGTTTTCCCAGTACAATATTCTTTACACCAGGAAAACTATATATGTGTATCTGATAATTTTCTTGAGAAGCATCTACTCTGCAAAATTAAAATNTACTGTATTTGAGAGAAAAAAAAATAAGAAAAATATTTATTCTGCCCTCTATTTCTTGCCCGTATTTTTTCAATTTTTTTTTTGTACCTATTTTTTTCTCTTTTCCTGTCCTTTTTCTCCTCCGCTCAAAAACTAGTAATACTGATAGCTTCCCCGTCCATTTTCCTCTCAGTGCGGATATCAACACAGGCAAATCACTTCAATGGAGTGAATAAAAAATACTGAATTCATACCCTAGCACTCATGCCAAGGTACTTCATAATGAATACTGACTTACCAGACTGTATACACCATCTTGTCCAAGTTTGCTACAATGGTATTACCACACTCAATAATTAAAAAAAAGTATACATGCCTAGAAAAGTGTGTTATAATAAGGGTTTATGCAACTGGACAGAGAACACTGTTTAGAGTTTTTATGAGGATAGTGAGGCTCCGGTTAGGGTGTGTAGGAGAGAGACAACTTCCCAGTAAAGAAGGTCTTTGACAGGGATGTGTAACGTCACCATAGTTGTTCAACCCTTTGAGAGTCGCCAGGCCCTCTCAGAGATTTGTTCTCAGGGTCGCCAAAATTAAAAAAAAAAAAAAAAAAAAAATCTCATGAAAAGATAAAGAATCTTTTCCCGATCATAATGACACCAAAAGTATGAAATTTGATGGAAAACTTATGGAATTATGCTCTCGTGAAGTTAGCGGTCTCGACGATGTTTACAGATTGGCGATTTTACCCACTTTGAGCCCTATTTTCGGCCAATTCCGGTGCACTAGTCTACAAAAATCTTAACTATTTTGCTAGAACTCCATTTTTTCTATCGAATGAGTACAAGAAACCACCCATTTACCGATTTCAACTATCCAATAAAGTGGTCAGAATTTAGCAATTTTGCCAATTTCACACAAATTTCAAAAGATGCCAATTTCCAAATAGGATCCAGAATAAACAAGAAAGACATTCCTGGCACTAAAATAACATTTCCTCTGTTCATTAGTCACGTCCCCAGGCCCCTCTTACATTCCTTTTGCTTTCCACTTTGATTTTTTGTTCTCACAAATATAATAAGATTTATTGTTATGCAGACTACTGCATTAGTGTAGAAATGGTATAAATAATATCGGCGCACTTGTGAAAGAATATTAGACTCGCCAGTTGATGTGTATTGGACGCTTAGCATGATTTGTTTACTTTTGAACTTCAGTAAAAATCGAACATTTCTGTTAATTTGAGCTTAATTTCGAGGTACTTTTCATTGTAAAACCAGTCAAAATCATCTCAATTTCTGTAATATGTCTTCCATTCTATACAATGAGACAAGGAAAACTAGAAAACAACAATAAATACCATACGAAAATACAGTGCAAAGTCGCTGTTTTAAACCAAAAACACGGTCTAAGTTTTTTTTTTTTCTCGTTACGCACTGTGTGCTACAGGATTTTTTTTATACTGTGCACACTGACTACATAGACCCATTCTTTCATATGTAGGCCTACCAGCTTTCTCTTGCTAGATTTGAGGGCACTAGAATTTATACGTACTAGCACGTCAAAAACCTTGGTGCGCAAGCCGTACTAGTACGGCCGAAACCCCGAAAGGCTTAATATATTTATAGATGGAGTAGTGAAAGAAGTAAATCCTAAGGTGTTTGGGAGAGAGGTGGGATTAAATTATGGAGAATGAAGTACAAAATGGAAGTCGTAATAAAAAATAAAAGAAAAAATACAGTTACTTTTTGGTGACGATACTGTGCTTATGGGAGATTCTAAAGAAAAGTTCCGGACAAGTTTGGGAGGGTGAGTAAAGATAGAAAGTTGAAAGTGAACAAAGGTAAGACTAAGGTGACGAGGGTATCAAACGATTTGGAGAGAGGGAGTATGGAAGAAGTGAATGTTTTCAGATATTTGGGAGTTGACTTGCTAGCAGATGGGTTTATGAAGGATGAGGTCAACCAAAGAACTGATGAAGGAAAAAAAGGCAAGCGGTGCATCAAGGTGTATGTGGGGACAAAAAAAACTATCTACAGAGGCAAAGATGGGAATGTATGAAAATATAGTTGTACCAACACTGTTATATGGGTGTGAAGCTTGGGTTGTAAATGCTGCAGCGAGGAGGTGGTGGAGATATCCTGTGTGGTGTAAATATTATGCAGAGAATTCGGAGTGTGGAAATTAGGAGGTGGTGTGGAGTTACTAAAGGTATTAGTCAGAGGGCTGAAGAGGGGTTGTTGAGGTGGTTTGGTCATTTAGAGAGAATAAATCCAAGTAGAATGACATGGAGAATGTATAAATCTGTAGGGAAAGGAAGGTGGGGTAGGGGGGTCACCCTCAAAGGCTGGAGGAAGGAAAGGGGTAAAGGAGGTTTTGTGGGCGAGGGGCTTGGACTTCCAGCAAGCGTGCATGAGCATGTTAGATAGAAGTGAATGGAGACTAATGGTTTTTGGGACCTGACGAGCTGTTGGAATGTGAGCAGGATAATATTTGGTGAAGGGATTCAGGGAAACAGGTTATTTTTATATAGCCGGACTTGAGTACTGGAAATGGGAAATACAATGCCTGCACTTCAAAGGATGGGTTTGGGATATTGGAAGTTTGGAGTGATATGTTAAACGTATATTTATATATATGCTTCTAAACTGTTGTATCTGGGAGCCTCTGCAAAAACAGTGATTATGTATGAATGAGGTGAAAGTGTTGAATGATAATAAAAGTACTTTATTTTTGGGGATCTATTCTTTATTTTTGGGTCTCCCTGCCTTGGTGGGAGACGGCCGACTTGTTGAAAAAACAAAATATGGGTAGATGGAAACTGGACAATTATCTTCACCAGGTGCCATATCAACCAGGCTGTGATGGATATGTGGGGCAGTGGGCCTCCAGCAGCAACAGCCTGGTTGACCAGGCACGCACCAGACGAGCCTGGCCCATGGCCGGGCTGAGAGAGTAGAGAAGCTCTTGAAACTCTTCAAAGGTATATCAAAGGCACAAGATCATGCAGAGGTTTCAGAAACTAAACTTTGACAGCACTATCCAAGGATGAATGGAGGATGCCCATCATTACTTAGAGCAAAAATAATGAAAACAGGAAAAAATAAATGGGTAAATGCATCACTGACCTGTAAATTGTCCAGTTGATCTTCATTACCTTCATACTTTTTCTTTAGTTCATCGAGCTTAGTTGTTACTTGCATCACAAAACTAGATTTTTCCTCCAACTGTTTCTCATATGATTTCCTAATCTCTTCTTTTTCTGCTTCTAAAACTGATATCTTATCCTCCAAGTCATTCACCTGAAATATTTCCAAATCAGGTTACTGCAGTCTCATATATCCTTCCAATTATGGTTTCAATTGTTTTTAAAAATATACCAGTCCCCAGATTGTTGTTCTTCCAACATCATCATTCCATGGGCTTGCTTCTCCAACTGATTTACTAGTAGTGGTTGACCTGCCTTCCTGGTTTAAAGCAGTACTCATGAACAATCCAGGAAATTGTAGTAGACCACCCATGCTATTCATCATCCTCCATGCATCAAAACTTGTACTAGTTCTGCAAGACGGAGAGCAGCAGCAGTGGAGGGAGTTTCTGCTGGACCATCACATCATAACAGCAAAGAAAC